GTAAGGATGTGTGTTGAATTCTGTAAAGATGTGTTGCATTTGTTTCACCTGACCTGCCTAAGGCACCTGATTGGTCTAATAAAAAGCTGAATGGCCAATAGCTGGGCAGGAGAGGGATAGGTGGGGTTGACAGGCAGAGGGAATAAGTAGGAGGAAAGAAGAGAATGAGAGACAAGAGGGAGAAAACAAGCGAGACAGAGAGACACACCAGGGGCCACAAGCCAGGCAGCTGCCAGTCAGCCAGTGAAAGCATCCATATACAGAAGGAAGTGAGCATAAACAAAAGGAAGTGAGCATATACAGAAGGAAGTGAGCCTATACAGAAGGAAGTGAGCCTATACAGAAGGAAGTCAGCATATACAGAAGGAAGTCAGCATATACAGAAGGAAGTCAGCATATACAGAAGGAAGTCAGCATATACAGAAGGAAGTCAGCATATATAGAAGGAAGTCAGCATATACAGAAGGAAGTCAGCATATATAGAAGGAAGTCAGCATATACAGAAGGAAGTGATCATATACAGAAAGAAGTAAGCATATACAGAAGGAAGCAGTGAAAGTAAGATATACAGAAGGAAAGAAAGGTAAAAAGCCCCGAGGCAAAATGTAGATAAAGAGAAATAGGTTAGGTTACAATAAAAGGACCAAGCAGATGCTGTAACAGGCTATTCAGTCTTCTCTCAGAGATCAGGCCTCAAGATCAGTTTCCTGAGACTGAGCAAGCAGTTTCTGGGAGGGCCATGAACAAAAGACAATTAAGCACTGATGCCCCTGTCAGCAGGGACAGGAAGATAGGACACATCAAGCCTGGGCCACTGAGCCAGCCCCCACAGTCAGTACGTGCTAGGCCAGCCAGCCTCCATAGTAGCTCCAGGCCAGCCCAAAAAAGGATAACTGTAACCCCCAACTAACCCTAGCCAATTAAAAATTACTAAAATGATTGCCACTTGCATAAACCTAATCCTGAGTCTGTTCCTATGTAGTCTGTAGACCCCAAGAACTTCCCCCTTGCTTTACCCCCTATAAAAACCCTGCCCCATTGCTACTCGGGATCTCTCCTGCTCTGCTGCTGCATCTGACTGATGGAGTGGCCTGAGTTAACTCACAACAATGAAAAGACTCTTTGCTTTTGCATTGGATTTGGTCTCTTGATGGTCTTTGGGGGACTCTGGGTACAACAATAAGAGCTAGCAAGAAACGAGCCTAAGCTAAGGCTGAGCATTCATAACTAATAAAAACTCTCTGTGTCATGATTTGGGAGCTGGTTGGGGGCCCAAAAGAAAAAGCCTGGAACAAAAGAGGCTCTCAGACTATGGCAGTTTTAGAAACTGTTGTGGTGGTGTGTGAGCACAACCCTCAGTGACACCTGCAATTCTGACTTCAGTTGCTGATTTGTTGCCTGGTAGTCATGTTGGAGCTACCTCTTAGGTTTCCAAGCGATATCAATAGGGCAGTGTTGTGCAGTCACATCAGAACAGGATCTTGGCTCTCTCTCCTCTCCATTTACATAATGGACAAACAAAGGTGTAAGAGTCCCTGGCATAACAAAGCACTTCAGAGTCCTGTGCTGTTTATGTTTCCACACAGGTACATGGTTGCTTCATCACTATGGACCAGAGTAACAACCTCTGTTGTGTGAAAAACTTTTCCTGGGGGGAAACTATACACACATCCCACAGTATGAATACTACCAAAGTCTAACTTGGTGAACCATGAGTTTTATTGGGGTTACCTACAGGCATATAGGTAAGGGGTTACCTACAGGAATATAGGTAAGGGGTTACTTGCAGGGGCAGAAATGACACAAGACAGCTGCATCACCAAGACCCACCGCAGCATGCTGACAACTTACAAAATCTGGGAACCTGGAGCATACCGCACAGCGTGCAGGCAGCTCAACAGGCTGGAGAGTGTCCTTTTCAGGTGCTTCAGTTGGGCTAAACCTCTTCCCCAAACTCCACAAACTCAGCTGGTTTCTGAATCCAGGCAGCTGGTCTGGTCTCAGATTCACTAGGCCCCTCCCTCCCAGAGTGGCTAATTTACTCTGGGAGGGAGGGGCCTAGTGAATCTGGTCTGTTTCAGGGACTTCCTGAATCTAGTTTGAGTTGTTTACCTTCTGGCTTAAGGAGTTTCTCTTTCTGATAGAATGTTTCAATCTTGGAAAAAACTGCTGCAGAACAATCTCAAAACCCAGTTAATCTTATGAGACATAAAAAATAGCTGGATTTTGTTCAACAAAGGTCCCTGCAATCCTCAAAGAGTTATCACTTTAACATGCTTAATTAAATTCACTATTCAAACATGCTTGCTGACTGAAAGCAATATTTTTAATACAAAAATTTCAGAATCAGTTGTACTTCTGTCTCCTATCATCACTGTAGATAGATAAACTCATTTTGTTTTATCCCTGACTTTAAAAATATTTGAGGTTCTCTATTAGGTGGGTAATAAGTTTTTATCATGCGTGCGTGTGTGTGTGTGTGTGTGTGTGTGTGTGTGAGAGAGAGAGAGAGAGAGAGAGAGAGAGAGAGAGAGAGAGAGAGAGAGAGAGAGAGAGAGAGAGAGAGAAAGCACCTATGGCATTAAGAGGGAAGGACAACATTTTGGGGAGTTGTTCTCTTTCTACCCTGTTTTTTGAGGCAGGGTCTCTCTTGATTTTTGTAGTTAAGACGTGGAGTGGCCTTAATAATTTCACCAATATGTTTTGCTTTCGCTGTTTGTTTGTTTTGAGACAGAATCTTAGTATGTAGCCGTAGCTAGCCTTGGTACTCACGGTATAGATTGGCCCAGTCTCAAATCGACAGAGATCCATTTGCCTCAGCTTTCTGAGTGCTGGGATTAAAGGCCCAGCTGACTCCCTTATCTGCACTACACATTCCAGACTAGCCATCCAAAAAGATTTTGGCAAATTTTCCTGTCTCCGTCTCCCATCTTGCTGTAGGAGAGCTGGGATTTCAGATCAGTCTTTTTACATGGATATGGGAGACTGAACTCCAGCTGAAGGTCAGTGCTTCACTTGCTGAGTTGTCTGCCTGGCTCCCTCTTTGTCTTTTGAGACATTTTTTTCTTTATTAAGAAATTTTTTATTAATTTTCCATACCAACCACAGATCTTCCCTCATCCCTCCTCCTCTTCCCCCCACCCCCAGCATCCCCCCTAACTTACTCCTTATTCCTTCCTCTGAAAAGGTAAGGCCTCCCATGGGGAGTCAGCAAAGCCTGGTACATTCAGTTGAGGCAGGTCCAAGCCCCTCCCCCTGCATCAAGGCTGTGCAAGGTGTCCTTCCATAGGTAGTGGGCTCCAAAAAGCCAGCTCATGAACCAGGGATAGATCCTGATCCTACTGCCGGGGGCCCCTTCAACAGACCAAGCTACACAATTGTTTCGAGACAATCTTGTGGCTCAGATTGGCTTGAAACTCATGATCTTTCTGCCTCTGCCTGTTGTGGGATATTTGTACATTTGTATACTGTGTGAAGGTGTATTAATGTGATCGGTGTGGCAAAAAGCTGTATGGCCACCAGGCAGTGGTGGCGCACGCCTTTAATCCCAGCACTCGGGAGGCAGAGCCAGGCAGATCTCTGTGAGTTCGAGGCCAGCCTGGTCTACAGAGTGAGTTCCAGGAAAGGCGCAAAGCTACACAGAGAAACCCTGCCTCGAAAAACCAAAAAAAAAAAAAAAAGCTGTATGGCCAATAGCTAGGCAGGAGGTGTAGTCGGGACTTCCAGGAAGAGAGAGGAAGGAGGAGGAAGAATCTAGGCGTGTGAGGAGACACAGAGGAAGCAGGATAGGTGGTATGTGACAGAATGTAGATTAATAGAAATGGGTTAATTTAAGTTGTAAAAGCTAGTTAAAAACAAGCCTAAGCTAAAGCCAAACTTTCATAATTAATAAGTCTCTATGTCATTATTTGTGAGCTGGCGGCCCAAAGAAAAATCAGACTACATCGGCCCCTTGACTGCTGGAATTACAGGAATGTATAGCATGTGCCACTATGTGTGGATATGTGTGGATATGTGCCATTGCATTCAGTACGGCTCTTGATTTTCATGTCTTGGTGACTTGTGACTGGTTTTATCATTTGGAAATAGCCAGCTTTCCTTTTGACGTTTTAGGTGCCTATTCACTTAGCAGCATATAGCTAGGCCCTTTTAAACTCAAATTAGGACTAGGTTTTTAAATATGGGAACTTAATTCATTGTATTTTTTTTTTACCGAGTATGTTTAAATATATTTCTGTTGATACATATTTTCCATTCAGTTTTCCTCTTGTTTCTTTTTCTCTTCTTCTTCTTTTAAATATTTATTTTTATTTTATTTTAGTGTCCTGACTGTATGCTGGAAGAGGGCACCAGATCTCATTACAGATGGTTGGGAGCCACCATGTGGGTGCTGGGAATTGAACTCAGGACCTCTGGAAGAACAGTCAGTGCTCTTAAACTCTGAGCCATCTCTCGAGCCCCCTCCCTTTTTTTTAATTGATGAATTTGAGTTTGTTCCTTTTGTCTTCCTTCAAGGGTTAGATTTCTTAAGTGTCAGCAGGATATGTCAAAGGACCCTTTCAATCTAAATTTCTTGCTTTCAGAGGAGATGTATTTGTTTGATAGAGTGCTTGCCTAGTATACACAAAGCCCTGGATTGGATCTCCAGCACTGAATAAACCGGCTGTGGTGATACTCACCTGTAATCCTAGCACTAGAAAGGGGGAGACAGGAGGATCAGAAGTTCAAGGTCATCTTTGGCTACATAGTGAGTTTGGACACTTAAGACCCTGTCTCAAAGAAACGAGTCGGTAAAATAAAATGAGACGCACCATTTCTTCAGCTCCAGGAAGTTTTATCTAAAACCTTTCTTGTCGATTCCACCTTGAGCACTCCTTCTTGAGCTATGAGATACATGTTTGATTAGCTGGGTTAATTCTCCATTTTACTTAAGGTTTTTCTTATATTTCCCATTTGCTTTTCCCTTAAGTTTTGTGAGTTTCTTACCTTTATTTTTTCAGATCGCCAATTGAACTTTCAGTCGTAAAGATCCACTCATCATTCATTCATCCAGCAGACAGCCAGTGAGTTTCTGATACGCGACACACCGGGCGCAATGTTAAGGACGGGTATTTGTTGGTGAACAAAGTTTTCTTATTGGGGTTTTATTTTCCCAGGGCTTCCCTTGCTCTGCAACTGCTCTCTCACTGAGCTACGGAACTTTCTTATGACCTAAGTGTTCTTGTACGTGGGCAAAACATGCTTATTGTACCTGGGTTCTTTGTTGTTGAGACAAGATTCTTAGTTTGATTTCTTTTTTCTCCCAAGTCAGGTTCTCTGTCCCATGATGCTCACAGGGCTGCTTTTGGATTTTGTTTTTTTCCCCCCACACTATCTGGTAATCCTGACTGCAAATGAAGAGCTAGATTTGCAAATAAAGACAGCCTGAAGATCTCTTGTGTGGGTGTGTACCTAATAGCCTTCTTCTTACATATGCAAAATAAGTTTCCAGTAGAGAGTATATGGGGATGCCCACAAGAAGCATTTATGTACAGATAAATAGGTGTGAAACAAACAAAAGATTAGTCAGAATTCTTGACAATAAGCAACAGAAACTGATTCCTGTTAGTTTACAGAGACAATTTATTGGCAGGTTTGGGGCTGCTCACAAAATTGGCCAGAAGGTTGAGAACCCGACTTGGAAAACCAATAAGAACAGTGGTTCTCGATCTTCCTAATGCTGCGACCATTTGGTAGAGTTCCTCATGTTGTGGTGATCCCCAACCATAAAATTATTTCATTGCTACTTCATAACTCTAATTTACTACTGTTGTGAACCGGAATGTAAATATCTGATATGCGAACTCCAAAGGGGTTGAAACACGCAGGTTGAGAATCACTGAACAAGAGCCACAGTCCAGGCTGCTGTGAAGGAACAGCTGTGAAGCCAGGATGTGGAGGCATCTGTCAGGCACCCGCAGGCACATAAGCTGGGCAAGACAATGCCCCTAAGCCCATAAGCCTGTAAATGCATCCCCGTACTTGGCAGAAGGGACTTTGAAGATGTGACTGTTGAAGAATTTGAGAACAAGAAAGCATCCGTGGTTTTGCAAGGACAGAGGATCTTCCCCAGCTGACCAGGGAGAGGTGTGGCTTCAGAAAAGCGTCAGAGAACCTCAGCACTGTTGGGTTTGGAGCTGGAAATGGAGAAGTGAGTTAAGTGTGGGTGGGCACCAGGTGGCCGGAAAAGCCTCCTCGAAACGTCCGGAAGAATGCTCTTTCTGACGCCGATCTAGCCTCCCGGGCTTGTGTCGTGCTTCTGACCATAGGTCTCTAAGAAAACAAATGTGTGTTGTTGAAAGCTCCTACACTTGCCATTTGTTCGAGCAGCGATAGAAAATGAAGGCTGACACTTCTGTGGGCTTCCCTTGCCGGGCTGCTGAAGAGGCTGGCTGCGCATGCCCTCCCTTGCACACCACCCTTGTCTTCTCCTAACCTTCCTTCCTGTGCTTTGCCTCCCATGGTCTCTCCACAAACTCCTCCTCCTAACACTCTGCTGGCTCATCCAGATCCTTCTTTGGTGTCACTAGAAATGCCTTTCTGAGTTTGGATCCTCTTTGGATTTGCTTTTGCTTCCCTTTAGTTTAATCATTTCTTTTTCTTTTTTCTTTTATTTTACTTTTAAAGACAGAGTCTCACTATGTAGTTCAGGGTGGCTTCAAACTCACAATCTTCCTTGCCTCAGCCTCCTGAGTGCTGGGGTTATGGTAATCATTCATTAGACATATTTTCTTCTATTGAGTCTAGGATGTAAGTTTCCTCCCTTCCACTCTTGCTGATGTTGATTGCATTTAATGTCTATCTACCAGATACTTCACATTTTCCTGGTCGTGATACCCTTTCCTGTTCTCCAGTGCTGGGATTTAAAAAAAAAAAAACTCTGGCCGGGCGGTGGTGGCGCATGCTTTTAATCCCAGCACTCTGGGAGGCAGAGCCAGGCAGATCTCTGTGAGTTCGAGGCCAGCCTGGGCTACCAAGTGAGTTCCAGGAAAGGCGCAAAGCTACACAGAGAAACCCTGTCTCGAAAAAACCGAAAAAAAAAAAAAACCAACTCTTTCCCCCATATTATTATTATTATTATTATTATTATTATTTTTTTTTTTTTTTTTTTTTTTAAAGAGGATGGAAAGGGACACAACCTTGGCTCACCATCTTGAGGCAATTGTTTGTTATTCAAACTGGTTGTTCTCATACAGATGCGAAGGAATAGACCGTTGCCACTAGAGTGAGCCGTGTGACCTAGTCTCAGTCAGTGGGCTAACACTAGGACAATCAAAGGGAGCAGAGGTTTGGGAGGATCTGAGTTATCCTTAGGGAAGCCTTTGTGTGTGTATGTGAGTGTTGTATGCATGTGTACATGTGCATGTGTGTATGTGAGTGTTGCATGCATGTGTACATGTGCATGTGTGTATGGAGGCCAGAGGTGGATGTCCAGTGCCTTTCTCAGTCTCACTCCCCTTCAGTTTTTGAGACAAGGTCTCTCATTGACCCAGAGCTCATCGACTCAGCTAGACAGGCAGCCAGCAAACCCCAGGGACCCTCCTGTCTCCAGCGCTGGGATTACAGGTACAAACTACCATACTTGGCTCTTACATGGATTGGGGGGCCTCTGAACTCAGGCCCTCATGCTTTTGTGACAAGCATGTTGCCAACGGAGCCACCTGGATAGTACCAGGGAAGCCTTTCAATAGGAAAAGACAAGATGGGTCTGAGTTGAAATCCTGATTTTTGCCCATCGCCAACTATGCACGTTTGGTCTCTGAGCTTGCGGGATGGGGTGAGAGCGTGTCTCAGGTCACCCACCTGTGGGATGGGGTGAGAGCGTGTCTCAGGTCACCCACCTGTGGGATGGGGTGAGAGCGTGTCTCAGGTCACCCACCTGTGGGATGGGGATGAGAGCGTGTCTCCAGTCACCCACCTGTGGGATGGGGTGAGAGCGTGTCTCCGGTCACCCACCTATGTCATGGGGGTGATAGCGTGTCTCCGGTCACCCACCTGTGGGATGGGGTGATAACGTGTCTCCGGTCACCCACCTGTGTCATGGGGGTGATAACGTGTCTCCGGTCACCCACCTGTGTCATGGGGGTGAGAGCGTGTCTCAGGTCACCCACCTGTGGGATGGGGTGAGAGCGTGTCTCAGGTCACCCACCTGTGTCATGGGGGTGATAGTGTGTCTCCGGTCACCCACCTGTGGGATGGGGTGATAACGTGTCTCCGGTCACCCACCTGTGTCATGGGGGTGATAGCGTGTCTCAGGTCACCCACCTGTGGGATGGGGTGAGAGCGTGTCTCAGGTCACCCACCTGTGGGATGGGGTGAGAGCGTGTCTCAGGTCACCCACCTGTGGGATGGGGTGAGAGCGTGTCTCCGGTCACCCACCTGTGGGATGGGGTGAGAGCGTGTCTCCGGTCACCCACCTGTGGGATGGGGTGATAGCGTGTCTCCGGTCACCCACCTGTGTCATGGGGGTGATAGCGTGTCTCAGGTCACCCACCTGTGGGATGGGGTGAGAGCGTGTCTCAGGTCACCCACCTGTGGGATGGGGTGAGAGCGTGTCTCAGGTCACCCACCTGTGGGATGGGGTGAGAGCGTGTCTCAGGTCACCCACCTGTGGGATGGGGTGAGAGCGTGTCTCAGGTCACCCACCTGTGTCATGGGGGTGATAGTGTGTCTCCGGTCACCCACCTGTGGGATGGGGTGATAGCGTGTCTCCGGTCACCCACCTGTGTCATGGGGGTGATAGCGTGTCTCAGGTCACCTGCAAGGATAGAGTAAATACCAGCAAGTGCCACACCAGCTTGGCGTACATTGCTTTTGGATATTTCCCGAGTGCACGTACATGGACTCATCTTGTTTAATCCCCATCATTAATCCTATTACACAGCTCAGGAATGGAGAGCTAAAATAAGCTGCTTAAGATTATGACTGGAAGTGGCAAGGCAGGAACTTGAACCTCCGGAGCCCGGCTCTGTCATGTCTGCACACTAACGTCGCCGTGCCGTCTGCTCCCCTCCCTCGGCAGGAGCCCACAGGAGCCCTCTCCTGCTAATGCACTCCTCTCGCCTTCTGGATTTCCCACGCAGTTTTTGCGGTACGTCGTTAGATTCATTTTCAGAGCTGCAATGCACTTGAGTCAGCAGAGGGGGTAAGTGGCCCCACTAATAGGCAAGTTGGAGCCAGCAGGTCTATTACTACTTAGAATCGGAGTCTGTTTATTGTTTTGCTCTCTTTTACAGTGTGTTTGCTTTAGTGAAGGTAACATTTCCATAACACTAAGGTCACAAGTGTGGATGGTGCTCAGTGGATCCTCACCCCTGTGAGACTGTCACCTAGTCCCCATAATGAAGTTTACATTTTTTTTCTTTTTTTTTTAACAACTTATTTTTATTTTATGTGCATTTTGGTATTTTGCCCTCATGTATATCTGTGTGAGGGTGTCGGATCCTCCCTTGTGAGCTGCCATGTGGGTGCTGGGAATTGAACCCGGGTCCTCTGGAAGAGCATCCAGCGCAGTGCTCTTAACCGCTGAGCCGTCTTTCCAGACTCACTTTTTTTCCTCTTTTAAGAGGCTTCAGTCATTCTCCCCTCCGAGTTAAAAATATTTTTCATTGCACATCCTTGCTTTTAAAACTCAGTCAGGGCCGGGCGGTGGTGGCGCACGCCTTTAATCCCAGCACTCGGGAGGCAGAGCCAGGTGGATCTCTGTGAGTTCGAGGCCAGCCTGGTCTCCAAAGCGAGTACCAGGAAAGGCGCAAAGCTACACAGAGAAACCCTGTCTCGAAAAACCAAAAAAAAAAAAAAACTCAGTCAGGGAGTTGGCATGGTGGCCTGTGCCTGGAACCCCAGAATTTGGAAGTTCTGTGGCAGAAGGATTGAAGTTCAAGGTCAGCCTACCAAGACTCTGGCTCAAAAAAACACAAAGGAACACCAATCCAAGAAGTACCCGAGGGGGACCCTGCTAACTCAGAGGTGTGCGCAGCTGGATAGGGCTGTTTGCTTCCTCAGTCGCAGTCTGAACGTGTTCCCCAGGTGGCCTGTGCACCCTCGAGCTCAAGTCATCCTCCTGCCTCAGCTGTGACTACAGGCCTGTAGTCTGAGACTGTCTTAGGCCTTTTGAAAGCAGCGTAGAGAACGAGGCCTTGGATGGTTCAAACCGGCTGAAACCACAGTCTTCAGAAACACCTGCAGAGAGAGTGTTCTGTGGGTCCCATTTTGATGTCAGAGGGGCAAGAATAAGCTGGTCGGATCAAATTAGTGCTGCTGTTGTCTGAAAGTCAAGAGCCAGTTGTTTACACCTGACAGACGGAGGGTTATGTCACCTCACCTCTAATTACCTTTCTCACACCTCAGACCACTTTGTTTACTCCATCCCATAAACACCCCTAGACTCTGTGGGG